TCGTAATTTGATTCCACCATGATGACTCGTCTTTCACATTTCAGTAAGTTGAGTAACAACAAAATTACAAGAAGAATAACTTTTCGATAATAACATAAAATACAAATTAAAAATCTTGTTGGGCTGAAGGAAAAAATTGCGCTTTTTGATCTCCTAAATTTGTTAGAATTGGTCGTCGCCTTTTTTATAAACGTGTCCGTTCGCATCACTAATTTTCGAAAGAATACATCACAACAATAAAAACTAATGAAAAAATTGAGTACTTTTCTACAAAAAAAATGCCAAAAAAGTGTTCATTGTGGTGTTGTAAAAATAAATAACATAGAATATAATAGAAAATCGTGTTGTAACATTAATTATATTAATATTATTAATAATTTATAATTTGAATTAGAAAAACAAAAAATGCACTAACCAGGAATTGAACCTAGGGAGTTTGGAAGAATAAACTGTGGCTTCTTAGGCCTTTAGTGCTTTCTGAATTTTTATAAATTCTATCTCTTTTGATTCTTCCAGTTATTAAATTACTATTAAATTAATAATTAATAATAATAAATTGAAAAAACAAAAAATGCACTAACCGGGAATTAAACCCGGGATAGTTAGCTTGGAAAAAAAACTCTTGGATTCTGGGGCTTCTTGGTGCTCTATAAATAAATTAATTTGTGTAACACACTTTTCTAGTCATCCATTTGAGCGTATTTATTTTTCATGCAAGCGGGTGACACATGGAAGCACAAACGGTAACATTGAGCCGTACTTCTTTAAAAAGTATAGAGGCAAATGCCTTACTCTGAAAATTAAAGCGAGGGTCGGAAAGAATGGTCACAGTATTAACATTTTTTATGTGTAATTATAAATTTAATTATCATCACACTTTTTTTAACACATTTTTATTGACTGTTGTTTATTGTTTTTTTGTAAAATAAATAACAATTGCATAATCAATCAAATCAATGCTTGTTAATTTTTTCCTTGTGTTTGAGTGTGGTTTGTTTCATATTTATTTTTTTAATTACAACACATCAATGTTTCGTTTTATTTAATAAAAACGTATCACAAAACAAGGTCGGCTAAGATCCAGTTTTTAACCAAATTCGTGGAAATCTCTAATACGTGTCAGTTCAGTTTAAGTTTTAGCATATTGTCAACAAAAAATTTAATTTTTTTGTTTAAAAATGTTTTTAAAAAATTGTTAAAACTAAGTTAACGATTTAAACTAATTTTTAATGTGATAAAAATAATATTATATTAGAACATTATCTCAGTGATTTGATAAACATTATTTTAGTCAATAACATTATAATTATGTTTTTAATTTGTAGTAAAAGTCCATTGTTATTGTCAATAACAATTAGTAAAGTTAAAAATCAAAGTAATGTCTTTGTGATTAAATATCACTTTTTATAATAGTTTACTATTATAAAATGGGATTATTATCATTATGTTATAGTTTTTATGTTAAAATCGTTTAAAAAGTAATCTAGTTGTGGTTATTCTCAATTTTCGGAAATATAGTACAAGTCCCAATCATAATGATAAAACCTCGACTTTATCGATTTTTGTTTGTTTTTTAGTGCTCTAGTAAGATCACGTTTTATGCCCAGAAGTTTAGCCCTTTTCAAACATATTTTATTAACAAAAATTATTTTTTTTTATTTTTAATAAAAACAAATAAACAAATTTGTTCTAATCAAAGTGTTCAATTTCTGTTTCGTCTGAATTTTGACTTTCTTCTTCTTGTATTAATCTAAGTTCGTTCTCTAAAACATCAAATTGTTCCCTTTGTCGTCTTCTGTATATTAAACTACTTTTCTTATGTGCTTCTCTTCTTTTTTCAATTTTATTCAAATAATTGGTCATTATATTCATATAGTTTGTTGCATATTGATTTTCAAGGGGATTAATTTCAATGTCTTCATTGCAAAAGCAACAACTTATAACAAAAAGGTTGTCAAAAAAAAACAAGGTCTTTTAAATAATTTTCTCTTGTAAATTTAAACACCATTTTAAGTCGACCAAAATATCTTTCAATCAAACACTTTTTCTTTTAAAGGACTTTCTTTTGGAACTGAACCAGTTGGTATGTATAAATCAAATTTTTTATATCCCTTATCACCTATTATTTTTGTTGTTCCCAACATATTATTGATTGTTTCAGATGTGTTTTTTAAAATAGTCATATCATGATCTGCACCCTGAACTGCTTTTGAAACAAAACTTGCAGTGCCACTTTCTGCATTCACAATCACTTCGACTTTAACACAATACATTTTGTATTTTCCACAATAAAACCCATAGCTGAAGCAAAATCGCCATTTGGACGTCTTGTTGGTGTCACTGTACAATCAACAATTGAACTTACACCAGTATTTAACAAATTTTCGTTTCTGAATGCTATACATGCATTTTGAAGTGGTACTCTAAATAAAGAAGCACTTAAATCGATTTCTCTGCTTATTTGTTCGTTAGTTCTGATATATGGGATACACATATCTCTTATCATTTTCAAATTGTTATATTGACAAAATAAGTATAACAAAAGAAGTCTGTCGTTGGGGTTGTTGAAAAATGATTTGCATCCTCTTTTATCTAGATATATATTTCCAACAACTGGTTGTAATGCAAGGAAAACAAGTGGCTTAAGTTTCAAAAACTCAAAAAGACTTTCAAATCCACCATAACGTTCGAGTAAATATTCGTAAAAAAATCTTTGCCTTGAAAGTGATCGTGCT